AGTCCTGAGAACTTGAAAATTAATCCCATTATCCAGGAGAGTCCTGAGAACTTGAAAATTAATCCCATTATCCAGGAGAGTCCTAAAAACTTAAAACTAAATCCCATTATCCAGGAGGGTCCTGAAAACTTAAAACTAAGTCCCATTATCCAGGAGGGTCCTGAAAACTTAAAACTAAGTCCCATTATCCAGGAGGGTCCTGAAAAATTAAAATTAAATCCCATTATTCAAGAGAGTCCTGAAAACTTGAAAACTAAATCACATTATCCAGGAGGGTCCTAAAAATTAAAATTAAATCTCATTATCCAAGAGGGTCCTGAAAGCTTAAAAACCTAAATCCCATTATCCAGGAGGGTTCTAAAAAACTAAAATTAAATCCTATTATCCAGGAGGGTCTTGAAAACTTGAAAACTAAATCCCATTATCCAGGAGGGTCCTAAAAAGCCGAGAATGAACTTACCTGAGCCATGCTCCCTTCTTGGAGGATTCTAAACAGAATTTCTTGCCCCTGAACCATGCCTTCTTCATGGGAGGGTCCCTATGGATTAATGAATTTTCTTGCCCTTGTTTCAGACAAATAAAAAAAAATTAGTTTGAAAATGTGGTGGTTAGTTTGTGGCATCGTTTCTGAGTGTCTGCTTCTACCACTGCCATGCTTCATTCTGATTAGCTGCTTCATGCCAGCAAGGAGTTGTTTGGACCTTTTGATTGGAATTGGACCAAAAACCTCTGAATGACCTGAATCTCTTACACTCACTTGTTGCATTGTGTTTTCATTCTGAAAGTTGTTGAATCCTTGTATTTTCTCAAAATTCAAGATTCACCTGATTGCCTGAACCTCAGTTATCACCATACTGCTTATTCAAAACCATGTCAATTGTGATGTGCCTGGCCGAACTCTGCTTTGTGCAATTTAGAAGCTGGTAGTAGGCTTTGGAATCCTTTCCTACTTGTTCAACAAGGGCTAACTCGAAAGAGACTCATCAAGATAGACTCAAAGAGCAAAGTGAAATGATTTTTGGCAAAAGGAACAAAGGAAAATTTTGAACACGGATGACTATGTGAAGAAGAAGGGGAAAAAGAAGACTTATTTGAGTGAAGCGGCTGGCTCCAATGATCATGACATGCATTTCGGACTGATCAGCCTAATCCGTCCAACCAATCATATTTTCAGTTCATGTCATGCCTTCATACTTCAAAAAATCGGGCTTTCACTGATCTAATTTCTCTGTAAAGTCATGAGCCTCATTCAACTTGTAGTTCCCCAAAGGGTTTTCACTAACAAGCCTCTCTCATTTGTTCATCTCTTAACTCATCATTGCCTTATGGTTCCCGCGAGGGTTTTCACTAATAAGACTCTCTCATTTTAAATTTTCTCTCAGCTCACCATTGCCTTACGGTGCCCGTGAGGGTTTTCACCAATAAGACTCTCATTTTATTCATTTTTCCCTTGTGCCCATGAACAAAGTGTTACCCATGATGTAAATCATACCTCTATCTCGCTTGGCTTGGCATCCACAAAGATTGATCGGAAGGTCTTTTTCTGGACCGTAATGTAGGCTTTTGGACAGGGCTAGAAAGAAAGGGTGGCATGAAGGCTCAAAATAATTTAAGATGAGAAGGGTTAAAAATTACAACTTTTGGAATCAGATCTTTTGCAAAACCGAAACTTCTGCCCCAATTTCTTTGGGTTTGGGGAATTTTGGATTTTTATTTTGAAAGGACCGAACCGTGTAAGGATGCCTACGTATCCTTAAAAGGAATCAGGTCGAACGTAGTTCAAACAAAAGTTATTTGTTTTTGTTGCTTTTTTTTTCTTTTCTCTCTTTTTTTTATTTTTTTATTTTTTCCATTTTTTCTTTCTTTCTTTTCTCTCTTTTTTTTTTATTTTTCTTTATTTTTCATTTTCATTTTTTCCAATCTCTAATTCTACTCCTGATTCCAAAAGAGGGTTATGAAAGAAAATAAATAAGGCTCAAAACGGGTAGCAAATGATGTAAGTGTTTGGGTAGCGGAACAAAATGCCTTCGTCATTTCAACTTTGAACATGCCAAGTACAAAATGCAATTGAAAATGAGCAAAGAACTCATATAATATTTCTCGATGGCATCAACACAAACAGAAAGTGCCGATGAGCAATACCATTGTCCCAATGAATGGTCCTTGCCAATTCGAAGCAGACTTGACTCAACCTTATCTTGATGTGAAAGAATGCATTTCTACACTGAATGATCTACCTCAAACTATTCGGGAGACATTTCCTTGTTGTATGCTCTTATCAACCTCTTGATTTCCCAGACAAACTGCCTCGGTCTCACTCAATTCAAGCTTCAGGCTATCTTAGAATGCGTGAATCTTTACTCGTTTCCTCAAATGCATCTTTTTATCATATTCAAAACTATGTTTCATTATTCTATGATTAAATTGTCTTTCAAGATCTGGCTAAAAACTCTACATGCATGTCATGTCACTAGAACTGGCCTGGAGAGAACTATATACAAGAAAAGAACTAAACGAAGACTACAAATAATAGAAAAATAAAATCTCATTTGACCAAAGGATGGAAGGGTTTGAACAGCAGAATAAGATCTATATTAAAGCCCTGAAACAACCCTAGATGACAGACTTAGAGACATAAAACTAACTAACAAGACTCCTAGAGATAGGCAAAAGAGGATAGAAGGGTTTGAATCACCAGAACAAATAAGATAAAATCTGGGCTACAACTCTGAAATAATCGGATAGTAGAAAAAATGTCAAAATGAACTACGAAGACTCCTTCCCGATGAGAAAATGAGGTTCTTTCTAATTACCAAACTTGAGATCTTAGCCACTGAGTTGCATATCAAAATTACTGGGACCTTCACCAGCTTCAATCATACTATCTTCACCACGTGGCTCATTGACTCCTTTGAATAACCCTTCCTCAGCACTAACTGTTGAATTAGCGACTGACCCCCTAAGAGATCTTGCCACAAATGACTCACTGAAGGACTTGAAAGAACCTGCACATTTGTTGTCATGGCAAACCATCCCAACAATTTGTGCGTAGTCACGTGCCTGTAGAGGATTATGTGTGACACTTGGGGTATTACTGCCTTGGACCACAATTATCCCTTCTTGAATCATTCTTTCTATCTCCATTTTCAAAGTACGACAATCTTCAATACTATGACCTTGGGCATTAGAGTGGTACATGCACCGTACAATAGGATTAAAACCTTTTGCATACGGGTTTGGAGTATAGCCGAGGAGCTGCTCAATCAGGCCAGAATGTTTTAACTTTTCAAACAAGCTTGTGTAGGATTCTCCAATTGGCGTGAAATTATCTTTCTGCCTTTGTTTCCCTCCATGCCTATGTTTTTTAGGGTTATAGGGTGCCTGAAAATGCTGTGAAGGCACACGAGAATTTTGGGATGCTGATGCTCACCCCAGGGAGTGACCCAGTGGTTGGACAGATGGTCGGACATTATTTAGAGGATAATAGTGGGTTGGATTATGTGGAGCTCCGGGATATTCATGGGGTCGGTATTGAGGCTAAAAGCATTTAGCAGGGTTGCCCACTGGGTCCTGTCGTTTGCAGGGCTCAGCAACATCTTTTCTATCAATCGGAGAACTGACCCGAGCAACTTGTTCGTTCCATCTGAACCAAAACTCCCTAAAACTTTTCTTGGGTTTCTTTTCCATTTGAGATAGGGAAGAGTGGTCTGTGATAATATCTACATTATACTGATAGATCCGAACAAAATCTTGAGCCATGTCAACCCATGCGTGCCACTTACTGACATCTTGACGAGTATACCACTCCAAGGCTTCCCCACTCAAACTCTCACTGAAATATGCCATCAACAATTCATCTTTCCCGCAAACACTTCTCATTTCATTGTAGTAACCCCTCAAATGGACTACTGGATCTCCACGCACATCATATAAGTTAAACTTTGGTATTTTAAACCCCGCAGGCAGACGAATATCCGGAAACGTACACAAGTCGTTATAAGACATGTTATTTCCCATCCCTTGCATGTTCTTTAAGGATTGTTCTATACCTTTCAGCTTTCTAGATATCTCATCTTTCTTCACTGTCTTAGCAGACTTTTTAGCTTTACCGGGAGGCTCAAAATGAGGAGCGTAAGAGTATGGATCCGAGACCTTGAAAGTGGGTACTGGAGCATAGTGTTGGGCATCGGGGACTTTGAACGCAGGTTCATTAGAAGATCGATGGAGGGTAGTCGCGGAGGGGCTACAAAAATAGGAGAAGATGTCAGACCAGGGTATGCGGTTATTTTGGCTGGTGGAGTATGGAAAGTTTGGAAGACATCAGTACTAGTGGAAATCTGGATTTATGACAATGACGGAATGGTGACGAGGCTTTCAGTGTAGCTAGTGGGAAATAATGGTGGAGAACGCCCACTAATCCAGGCTTGGTACATTTCGGTCATCTGTCTTTTCAACCTTAGGACCTCTTCCAACTTAGATTCTGATTCAACAATCTCCTTAGGAGGATCGACAATGCATGCGTCCAAGTCTTTGCTAGCCATGGCTTCCTTGCTTTTGACCTTGTGTTGTGTGGATGACTCGCCAAAGTGCCACAAACTAACCACCCTCTGTTATGATAATAATGAAAGTAACAAAGAGGAATAAAACAAAGCCAACATGTTAGCGTTAGGACATTTATCAGAAATATCACATTGCGTGCAATGCCCCTAGCAACAATTTAATGGTTCTAAAATGACTTCGAGGGTCACAAAGTCATTTGGCATCATCCCAATTTTGTTCATTTCAGTCTTCTCTTTTCTTTCTTTTCTAGCACTTCTTGGCTTGCTTATTTTTCTTTCTAATAAACATTTTTTCTTTCCTCTCACTTCCCACATCCACAATTTCATCTTTTTTTTTTAGTTTTAAAAAATGATTCGATCGAACCATATGTAGGTTTCCTACGTATCATGTCCCGCATGAATCAGATCAAGCGTAGTTCTGAAAAAATAATGGACAAAATAAACTAAGGAACAAAAATCTTTTTGGATTTTCATTTATAACATTTTTTTGAATACATCATAGGAAGTATGATAATGAGAGACTCGACAAACTCAACTATACTATGAAAAATTCTGACATCAACTAAAGGACTCAATTCAACTGTATAGGACTAAAAAGTAAAAGACAACATGAATGACACACCCAAAACATAAAAGTATCTATATGCAGCTCCTAAATGCAGTAGTCTTGGGGTATTTGTCATGCTCGAGCTCTGGTACACTGATTCATACCTAAATGGAAAAAATAAGATCAAATAGAGTTAGTGACTCAAGACACATGAGACGCCACGACACCTTCTATTGGACACATGCAAGGCATGATTAAGGCTATTTTTGCAAAATGACCTACGTAGCCAAAATGTGGCTATTAGGGCAAACTCAACAAAGATGACCTCACATACATGAAAAAATACTTCACTAAGGCTTATATGGATTTAAACTCCCAATAATCATGTCCCAAAATTAATTTGCAGAAATGACCTATTTTGCAAAAATGGCCGATATGGCCAAAAGTGGCTAAAGATGCAAACTCAATAAGGACGGACCTTAAAGTAATATGACACCTAGTTGTGGACTTAATATCCTAAGAAATGGGTAATCGAGCCACTTTTGCGAAAATAATCTCATTTTGCAAGAATGGCCGATGTGGCCAAAAGTGGCTAGACATGCAAGATTTGGCTAAGACCCTGCGAAGCCAAGAACCTAAGACTCACTAGGAAGACCGGACCCTATGTTGCTTGCCTACATATCCCGCCTCGAAAGACGAGAATCAGGTAAGCGTAGTTCGGGAAGATTAGATATGAGAGAAAGCTTAAAAAATGACACTAATTTGGGAAAATATTTTTTTTGTCTTTTTGAAAAATGATGGAAAATGTAAAATCTTTTTGGATTTTATTTTTCTATTTTTTTTTTGAATTTTTGGAAAATAATGGGAAAGTGTAAAATCTTTTTGGATTTCTTTTTCTCTTTTTTTTTTTTTGATTTTTTGGAAAATGTTTAGAAAAGTGCAAAATCTTTTTTTTGGTCTTTTCTTGAAAAAGTTGTGAAAGAAAAATACAACTAGGCCCTACTTGCTTCATTTTTCACCCTTCTTTCTCAAACATCGGTCCGCCAAATGACCTTTTTACTCTCAAAGATGCAACATGTATCACATAGAGATGATTGAATATCGTTTTGGGCCACGGGCTCATTTTTGATAAAATTTGGATAGGCTTCCTACAAAGGGACACGGTGCTTGGGACCGAGCCCTACTACGTTCAAATGACATGATGCAAATAAGAATGACCTACCGGCTGACCTAAATTTGGGGTTCACTAGACAAGACAATTCGGGGCGGCACGTGGTCGATGGCGGCTGCTCTAGCTGTTCGCCCACTCCATGCTCCTACGCCACCCCCTAAAGACACGGGTGACTCACAAAAAGGCCGTGCACGCTCAAACGTACTCCGAAAGACTTGTTGCAAAAAAAAGACTCATGGTTGCGCAGATGATGACAATTATAAAGCGGTAAAAACATAAGGAAAAGCGATAAGCAAATAACCAACAAAACAACAAATAAGACAAACAAATCAAATAAACAAAGCAAATAAAGAAAACAAAAACCTCAGATGAATATCCTAGAAGCTAACAAGATCAAGTATCAGCTCGAACCTGCAACTCCCCAGCAGAGTCACCAGAGATGTTACACCCCTTTTTACCTCACTAACCCTGTTAAAAATATATAAAGGAGATTTGTAAAGCTCAAAAGGGGTTTTAATTAAAAGCGATAAAATTGTGTTCAAAAGGAAATAACTCAGAGTCACCGTTTTTTAGAAAAAAATGATTTTTCCTTTTAAAAAACTTTGAACTCTAAAACTAAGTCTGCACCAGAGGTTCGGGTAAGGGGGTTCATTTGGCTCGGGGAGAAGGTGTTAGGCACTTCCCAAGTCCCGTAGCTAGTACGGTTGCATACTTGATCTAGTCGGCTTTTAAAATATTCAAATTGAGGTAAAAATCACAGAAAAGGCAAACACACACGCAAGAGGCTCGAGGTCGTCCCCACCTAAATGAAAATAAAAGCAAAAATAAAATACTATTTTATGCTTCCTCGAACCGTTCAGTCTTTGGCCTTCATTTACATTCACTTCGGGGCATATCCTGGATAACAATATATACAAAGTCTTCGGGGTATTCCCCAGATAAATTTAACTAAGGGGCAACCTCTAACCTCAAAAGAAGCTAAAATACGAACGTCCTATAGGTTTGCCTACCCAAATGTCGACGGTCTAGCATGCTCCTAGCGTTCTACGAGTATTCCGGTAATTACGAAATAGCAATAAAGCATGCCATCTACTGTCTAATTCTTTTAATTCCATTTGAATTCCAAAGGCGAGATCCCATTTAATCATGATGCCTCCCTACGGTATTTACTATCCCTATTCAAACTTAGGTATCAATATGTATTCATAAGATAAATTCACAAGTTGTCTATTGTTAAAGATTCAAGTCAAATTGATCTAGAAAGGAGAAATCACAAACCAGTCATAAAGTAACAATTAAAATATGGCGTGCAAACAAACGTAGACTAATGCATAAGAAAATTCGAGGAAAAGAAAAAGATAATAGGGGGAAGAATGGACCTCGGGAAGTGATTTTAATTATAACCACAGTGATACGAACAAAAGCCGGGACTGAAAAGGCTCGAGCACGAGATGACCTCAATCAACTATTCTAGCAGCCTTCTAAAGGAAACCTCGAAACCCAGTTCTCTGTTCAAGAAGTGTAGGAAAATGCATCTTCACATAAGTGCATATACAAATCCCTAGCAGCGTTATCGTAAGAAAGGAGTGATGAGATCATTTCTTGAAAACAAGGGAACGCTCGATGAATCCGAAGCCATATTTAAGCATTTTTTTTCAATATTTCCAGCTTTTCTCCATTGTTCTTCGCCGGAGTTCGGTTGAATACTGACGGCGTTTTTAGGACTTTTTTTATGATCTGGAATTTTATCCACTAACTAGCCGGAAAAAATGTGTAGACTGATATCAACGACTGATTTTGTGTTGGGAAATAGGGTTTTTTGCGAGGAAGAAGAAGATGAGCAGTGGCTGAATATTTGTTCAGACGAGTTTTTGGTGGTGAGGGACGGCGGCAGAAGGGTAAAGGGGTGAGGCTTGTCGCTGCTAGGGTCTTAGCTGGAGGTGGAGTTGGGTGGTTGCTTGGCTGGTCGGCGGCGGAGTTGAGAGGGAGTTGGGGTGGTGGTTGTTGCTTCTCTTTGTCTATGGTTCCTAGGGTTCCTCCTCCTATTCTGTTAGTGAGTCGATAATTTTTATAGAGGAAGAAAATGTGTGAGAGCAAAACCATGTGGTCCCTACTTGTGTGTAGCTGAGTGGAATTAACCGAGTGATCAAAATGCCATTATGCTCATTTTCCACAATGCAAAGAACAAGAGTCCAGAAAAAGCATCTCTAGCATGTCAAAACAATTCAAGGGGGTGGGCCCCACTTGAAAAAAAGGAGAAATTAGAGGCACGTGAATGAGACTTAAAAATTCAACAAACTTTGATTTTCTTATTTACATTCATTTCCTTCCTTTTCAAATCATTTTTCTCTTTCTTATTAATTAACAACCAAAATAGCAACATAAATACTGATAAACCTAAAAACTTGAAATTGCTACTCACTTTAATTTTTTATTAAATACTCTTTAAAAAGAACAATCTAAAATTAAAGGAAGACATATTTTGTAATAATTTCCTTGGCAAACAAGTACAGAACTTGTACTAAACTCTTTTGTAGTTTTCAATTATTTTTTAAAAGTAAGACAAACCAATATGGCTAGACAGAATGCCAACTACTCAAAATAAAAAATTTATTTTTTTGTAATTTTTATTTCTAAGAGAAAATAAAGTAAAAAAAAAGGTTTAAAATAGTTAAAATAGCATTGTTAGACCTAAAACCAATATATAAGCACTAAATGGTGTAAAATTTTGGGGAGAGTCAAAAATTACATGTCTACACTAAACAGTCACATATTAAGGGGCAGAACCTAGGCTTCTAAGAGTACATGTGAGAGTGTTTGACATAGGTTTAAAAGAGTTGAGTTGGAAACAGTTTTGACAATGATTAGTTTGAAATAAGTTTTAGAAAGCAATGGAAGAGTTTGCCTTAGTGAAAACCAGTTTGAAGAAGAAAAGAAATAGGACAGTCAGCAACTCAAAACAAAATCAACATACATAGTTCAAACACAAACAGGGAAAGGAGGAATTGGGGACAAGTAGTTCATATGTGAAAGCATATTTGCACACAAGTTAACACCAGAGAAGTACTCAGAACTTAAATAGTCACATCAATAGTCTATCACAAAGTGTTCATGCTAGGAGCTTAACAGTATTAGATTAAGGGGTGCTAAACAGAGTTACACATTAGGTTTAGGGGGAAGGATTTAGGATCACATAGTAAGTAGGTGTCACGGACACATGCTTATAATGTATTGGGGGTTAGGGGTTAGGGCAGAATAGTAGTAGAAAATATAAGAAAGTAGTAGACATGTTGAATTACAGGGAAGGGGTAATCACATGGCAAAATAGGCATGCTAATTGCAAGGGAGACAGCAGAACCACAAGTAGAAGCATAAGGGAAACAAAAGGAAGTGCAATACAAATAGAGACATATTGTTTTGGATATTGTAAGTTAAACTGAAAACATACCAGTAAAAATGAGAGAATAAGTGCAAAGTGAGGAGTGAAGAGCAGTACAATGAAGGGAAGTAGAGCAGTAGTGTGTAGAGCAGTAGAGTAGTAGAACAATAGAGCAGTAAAGCAATGTAATCACTTAGTTTTGGCTTGCAGCCGACTGAGTATCAAGTAAACAGCAAGAAAAGCAAGAGAGTATGTATGTGTGTAAGAGAGAGTTCAGAATAGTGGAATTGTTCATCTTTTATGCTAAAAAGAGGTTAGAGTATTTATAGTTTGAGAACATATAGGAAAATAAAGTAATAAGTATTGACTTAGCACAATTATAGAAATAATACAAATCAAAATCAATTAAAGACCCGGACTCCCTTCAATTAGGGAGTTATAGTTCAAACGGGTACAAGTTGTAACAAATAAGGAAAAGAATTACTTATAAGACTAATTTTACCATAGTAGGAGTAGTAAAAGCATGTAGCATGTAATAAGGACTAAGTATAGAATATTTTCAAGTAAGGA